TTGGGAGGCATCTAGGCAGTGGTACCAGGTCCTGAGCTCGTTGCATGAGTTAGCTGTTTGAAACCTGGGACTTATGCAGGGACGCTTGGCTCAATCTGGGAGGAGGGGACTGGACCTGCCTGGACTGAGCCTATAAGGTCTATGTCAGTCCTGGGGCGGGGGTGGCCTTGATCTGGAAGTGGTGGAAATGGGGGGTGGGCTGGGGGGCAGGGGAGGGGGGGCAGGGAGTGGGAGAACAAGGGAATCTGTGGCTGTTATGTAGAACTGAATAGTATTGTAAAATAAAAGAAAAAAATAAACAGGATTAAAAAAATCTGTTTTCAGATATTTAATTGTCTATATTATTTCATTTATCGGTGTTGTCTCAATCATTATTATGGCATTTACTCATGTCCTCTGGACTTATTTTATAAATGGTTTATTATTGCTATTTTTGAAACCATTGTCTTCATAAAACATCTAGGCCACTTTTATCAGGGGATGATGCCTTTAGAACATTAGCTTTTGGTGTATACTTAATGTTTTGGTTATTCATGTTTGTATATTTACATTGAAACCTAGGCATGTGGAGTTAGGTCATTGGTGGTATTTCTTGGTATAGAAATCTTATCTCTTTTTAGTTGAGTATTTGAAGGTCTGTTTCCTGTTACTCCAACTAGTCAGGTGGACATGCTGTATGAGTCTTCGATTTCAGTCTTTGGGCAATTCTGTCTTGATGTTTAAATGGGGTTTCAGAAGTAGTCATGGCTCAGCTCAGGTTAAATGAGATTTCTAAGCCCAGATGAAGATCTTCTGTAGTATTATAGCATTCTCAGGCAATATTCTAGAGTCTGAGAATGGGTGCTTAGAACATTTTCTCAGGCAATGGGTGCTATTCGTATTGCAGAGAAAGAGTTTGGGGTCTACCTATACAAGAAAGCTGGGCAAGGTTGCCCACAAGTCCAGTACTGATCACACAGTCTTTAGGAAAATCATGAGAATGCATGGAGTTGCTAGTGTATGTGTCATACTCTTCCCTGGAGAAGGAAATTGCTCTAAATTCAGGGATATGTGGAGATGGCGAAGCTAGTTTAGTGTCATCCTAGAGAAGTGTCCAAGTATGTGCATTGAGTATGGGTTGAGTTAGTGGCATAAATCTAGGCTGTAAGCTCTCTGACTAAATATAGGAGGTATGGGAGGGGTAGATGAGATTAGCAGCACGTGTTGGCATTCCTACTTAAAGGTGTGTAGTAAGGGGCACAATATGGTAGGTCAGGAAACACGGTCTTATGGCAAGTTTCATGGTTGGGTGGATTTGGTGATATATGTTTAGTGTTCATCCCTGGAGCAGGGCCATCCTCAGGTAGTGGAGATGGGTGTTGTTGGGGGTAAAAGTCTTATGTATGCCTAAGAAAGGATCATGTATGTGAAGCATGGATGAGTGAGTGTAGCTGGCTAGGTAGATGTGGTTGAGCTGGGTGGAAGTCTAGGCTCCATGGCTAGGGTTGGAGACAGGGTTGTTCTTTGGGAATAACTAGGGCTGTTAGAATAAACTGGAGCTTTTACATGAAGTGAGTATGTAAAAGGGGGCTCAGGAAGGGAAATGTGTTCCTTAAGAAGGTCACTGTGGTCTCAACTAGCCTTTTCTGCATGTAATAAGGCCACGTGGATAGCATTGGCACTGCCCACAATAAGCTGGGTCATCCCGCATAAATCATAAACCATGATACTATCTCAAAGACTTGTCAACAGGAGAATCTTTTCTGAGCAGTATCTTAGATGCACTCTTCCCTGGTGACTCTTGTTTTTTTCAAGTTGACAATAAAAATGAAATTGTAAAGTGTCTGTTCACAAAATCATTTCACAACATACTAGTGTCTTTCCCTTTCAATACTCTAGTAATTTAATAAAATTACCTCATGTACACATTTAGTGCTAGATTTTTTTCTTTTATGGATAATTCTTTTCATGTTCTAACTTTCACTAGTTTCTCTCATATAGCACAATATTTTTCTATTAAGTTTTCATCCTATGACTTTATCATAATATATTTAATCTCATAACATCTTTGTAACAATTATACTATGTTTACATTCACACTTGAATTTATATTTAACAACTGTGTACATATTATCTGAAGCTAAGCCAAGCCTAGTATTTCAAACAAATTTTTGCCTAGGTTAACTCTTTTTCAAGATGAGGTCAGATTCTTTTGGAATTATAAGTTTCCTAGGTGTACTTCCCTTAAAAAATGAAAGCCATCCCAGGCCTGTTTTTCAGCTTACTCATAGCAGGTTACCTCTCTCCTTCTTCACTCTCAACTTCTATACATGTCGAAGGTTCATCTATAAACTATTATACTCTAATTAAACTTTTTGAGGCATTAATAGAGTAATCCCTTGTGTCACGATACCACCACATGTATAATTAATAATTAGTCCGATGTTATTACTGACACTGTGAATAATACTATTTTAGTAATATAAATGGAATTAATATGGATATTTATTCTTTACACAAATATATTATGATTTTGTACTATATACTACCATAAAATTTCCATCTTAATCTTTGAGTAGATTACATCATTTACATGTTATAAAGGTCTAACATCTCTACTATAAGGATGTTCCAAATTTGATTGGGTGTCAATGTCAAGTTGCAAACTCCAAGAAAATTGATCAGAATTTTCTTCTGCCACAGATCTGAAAATATTGGAGCAATAACTTGAATAAGTATAGTATACAAATTCTCACACTGACTCATATAGTACAAAGTATTGGGAATTTCTTTCACTTAAACGATAAATGGAAATTGAAAATATAAAAATAAAAGTGTGAAATATAAAGTGCTAGTGGACAAATAGACAATACATAAAATATATTATGAAGACTGATAATGCAAATGGCATGCATAGAAAGTGGTAAAAAATTATCGTCTTCCAACATGATAGACAAAACAGAAGACAACACCATGTAAAATCTTTAAATGTCCATATATGTGTACTGAACAAACAAGAAAAGCGATTGTACTTATCCTAGTTAGTTTTGAACCCATGTAAACATTTCATCAGAAAACTTGAAATTTTATGATAATTTAATTTACTATTTTTAGAAAAGACATTTACACACACACATGCACACACACACACACACACACACACACACTCACACACACACATACACATACACAGAAGAATGTGATAAACAATGGGATAATGATAGTGAAGTTTAAGACCCAGTATGCAGGTCATTTTCTTTTACATAAGGAAGTATTTTTCCTATTAAATCAACATCAAATACAACTAACATACATGTAACTTTTCATAGTGATGTTATTTGTCAGACAACAAGGCTTTTAAGTACTGTCCACACTTTCTGAGTGTTTTGGTGTGTGCATGTTCTTTATTAGTGCAAAGCACATTAGTAAAAACAAAATGCTCTTGCATTCTTCCAAGTCCACAGGCTAAATGAAAATAAACTTTTGAGTTTTCTGATGAACTTGGTACCAAGCAGGCCATTCATGAAACAATTTAAATAACATCTACCACGAAATTCCTTTCAGTGTGCATACACTATATAATATTGTAAACTTTTATTTTATGAGGATCCTCGAGTTCTGAATGTCAGACTTACCTTTTTTCAGGAAGTCAGTAGCAAGCATTTTACATTTTATGGAAGTAACGTTATGTGGAGAAATCTTAATATCTAAATTTGTCCTATATTCGGAACTTCAGTTGAGAAAGATGCCTTCTGATTTACTCTATAATCCCATGTAAACAATGACATTCCAGTGTCCATTTCAGTTTTTGCATTTGTTTGATGAAAGAACTGCAATGATAATATAAAATATTTCTAAGATTCAATTTATAAATATTTAACATTTTTTTTTATTTTTCAGCATTGTAGTGCATATTGAGATACATCAGCAGTTCTCAGAAGTTTCCAAGCTTAATTACATTGGAGCCTCTTGAAATTGTCCCATGCTTTCAGATTTATCATCTAACAAACATTGACAACTAGACCAGGAGAAGAGATAAGGCCAACATATCAAGCATCTTTATGGGCAAGTAATTCCAGTAGTTCATCATACTCACCAGCTATAGCTAAACTAGTGATCGCCTGTGTCAAACAGATAGCATCATTTTTATGTTATCCAGCTTAAGGGAAAGTGACATGAGTCTATGAGAAATGCTGTAGCTGATCTAGCCTATCACTACATTTGAAGATGAGTACATTTGAAGAGGGTACGGAGCCAGTAACAGTCGAAATTGTGAGCTCTGTCTTACTTACTGAAGACACAGACAGGAACCTCATTCTTTGCCTTCAGAATGAAGCTGGTGAAATGGAAAACCCTACTGAACCTCAGAATAAGAGGCCTTGTTTGTCCACAGAGGATGATTCAACAACTCCTTACATGCCAGCTGCTGCATTCCCACTACCAGAAATGGAGCAGAGCTTTGATTTGGTCACAACTACAGCCACAGAGGTGGCAGGTGAAGAGATTACTGAGGGAACTATGATGCAGTTCCAGATTTTACAGGATGACAAACCAGATGAAGGATTCCCCTTGGCTAGTGCACAAGAGTCAATTGTTAGTCAAGCGTGGTTAAGAGGTAGAGAAGATAAAGATAAGCTAACCAGACAAGGATATAAATGGAAGCAGGGGATGTGGTCCAAGGAAGAAACAGATATTTTGATGAACAACATTGAACGTTATATGAAGGAACATGAAATAGAGAATGCTGCAGAAATCATTTTTAAGATGTCAAAAGGTAAAAGAAAAGATTTCTACAAAACTATATCATTGGGTCTGAATCGGCCTTTGTTTTCAGTTTATAGGAGAGTGGTCCGAATGTATGATGACAGAAACCATGTGGGAAAGTACACCCCTGCAGAAATTCAAAAGCTCAAGGAGCTCTGGCAACGGCATGGCAATGACTGGATAACAATAGGTGCCGCCATGGGAAGAAGTCCATCTTCTGTCAAAGACCGGTGCCGACTGTTGAAGGATACTTGTAACACGGGAAAATGGACTGAAGAAGAAGAACGGATTCTTGGAGATGTGGTTCATGAACTGACACACACTGAGGTGGATGAGAAGGTCACACATGGTGTGTGTTGGGCAACAGTGGCTCAGAGAGTAGGTACTCGCTCAGCAAAGCAGTGTCGTGCTAAATGGCTCAACTACCTGAACTGGAAACAGACTGGAGGAATTGAGTGGACCAGGAAAGATGAAGTCACTCTCATCCACATGTTAGCAGAGCTTAATGTAGCTGATGAAAATGAAATTCACTGGGATGACTTAGCTAAAGGATGGAAAAGTGTTCGTTCACCACAATGGCTGCGTAGTAAATGGTGGACCATCAAAAGGCAAATTACAAACCATAAGGACTTTGCATTCCCAGTCCTAGTAAAATGTCTTCAACAAATATATGAGAGCCAAAGTTCCAGCCTCAGGTTTTGGGAGAATAAATCAGGATCAGAAGTTGCAGATAGCAACCCTGATACCAGTGTTCAACAAGTTCCCTTTGGAGTCACGGGTGTAGAAGATAATAACAGTACATCCATGAGTTCAGGACCTGTGACAGGATTGCAAATTGCACTCCAGATCATCCCTGACTCAACAGATGTGGCTATTGTTAACTCTGAAACAACAACCCCGCCCAGTAGACCACAATAGATATTTGATATTCTTCCTTCTTTCCATTTATATTTTCTTCCCTCACCTTGGACCTATTTCCTTCAAACAAGCTCAACTCAAGGCCCTTTTTAAACTCCAACCTGACGGCTGCTGTACCTTCTTCTCCTAACCTATCACATTTCATCTTCTATTCCCAGAACATCTATTGAACACTAATCAATGACATGTGGCATGTCATACACCAAGAATCATCACTATAATGGCTGAAAAAAATAGCATTACTTTTTTCACATCCCAAGCAGAATTGGCAGTCAATAGTGACATCTATTGTTCTAATTTTCATGGACTTGCAAATGTATTCAAAGCGGACAATTTCCCTGACAGAATTCTTCAGCTAAGATAACTCTGCAACCATCATTTAGTGATGCTCATGTTTTTAACTCAGAGACCCAAGCAGCATAGAGCTAGTGAACTGTGCTGATTACAGCAGAAGAATTCCATGACACCAGCCAAAAGAATAAGAAATTTACTCTGATTTATCCAGTGCTTGAGTTACTGAGGATTGAGTCACTCACCATAGTAGAGAAAGAGCAATACACAAATGGTAACAAAACTACGCTTTGTGCCCCTTCACTACCTGACTCTATCAAGGCATGGGATTTTACAGGTACTAAACCTGTCTTGCCTTTCACAGTACTAACAAGTCTTATAATCAAAAACAGCAAGGATCGAATACCATTGAATCCTCTTTGGGCAGCCCTGTTTCTACAGACTTCAAGGATATTGGACTTGCTAAAATATTACTAGCTTATCCTTAGAAACAAGCAAAAATGCCAAAGAAGTGTTATTGTATCTGTAGAGGAACAGGAGCGATGCCCAAGGGACTTTACTTTCTAATCTCCTTACTCACATAGATACAGTGGTTAGCTATGAACTTTAAGACTATGTCTTTTTTTTTTTTTTTACTGTTTTTAGTACATCTGAGATCCAGTTTTATGACACCCTGTAAATGAGTGAATGATGAGAAGTTTAATTGCACATATCCCTATTGAATGTTACCAGGAGGGAATGTTTTTCACCTCAGCTCCTGGAAAGTTTTCAAGTTATTAAAGGTCAACTGTAGTAATATTCATGTCTCTAGTTTAGTCATAGTATTTTATCCAGCCTCCATGAGGTTTGATTACATTTCAAACAAGTCCTAATAATATAGTTCAGTGCTTATTGGTTACAAAAACAGTGGCGGGATTTTGGAGGTGACTTTGTGGCAATAACTCTTAGCTCATTGAAGGCAGCTTGAGCCAATTTTGGCAGAAAAAAGTAGAAAGTGAGTAATGAAAATTGACAGTTTTGCTGTTCTTAAAGGGAATATGAATTAGTAACCAAATCCACTAGTAGCTAAGATGTTTTCACCTCTCATCTAATGCCACTTTACTATACCCAATACACAAAAATATAATTGAGGGTGTTTTAGTTTAGTTTGAGAGAGAGAGAGAGAGAGAGAGAGAGAGAGAGAGAGAGAGAGAGAGAGAGAGAAGAGGAGAGAGAGAGCTTGTATTGTACCCTCATCAGGCAATGTGCTACATGAATGGCGATTTTAAAGACAAAGTTTGCATCTGTAATAAAAGAAAAAGACCAATGGTCATTCCCAATGCTTATACCTAAACCAACTTCTAGGTTCTTACTGACATTATTGCTATCAAAGTTCTCCAAAAGTATATTTAAATTACTTCATTAACAAAACAAACAGCATAAGAAATGTTGGTTGAATAGGGAACTATCTGTGTGTGTTCATATCAAGATGAATAAAACGATCTGCTTTACAATGCAAAAGTTTAAGATGCTTTTTTCTGTGTTTACTGAAAATATCTTTCTGCATGAAGGGATGTTTAGAACAATCATGTGAAATTCTTGGAGTGTAACTCAATCATGGAGATCTTTCACAAGTCAAACAAAAGTCGAAGTCAGCACTGGTTGCCATTGAGATATCTATAACTCGTTGAGTCATTATTGGAGGGAAGTGTCTATAAAAGAAAGGTGAAGCACATGGAGAAGCCTCCTCCCCTGTACTCTACAAACAATGCATTGCTTGAAAAACCACTGTTATATACCACAGAATAACTTAGAGTAGGGTATACCCTTATCTCAATAAAATTACTCTTTTAGAGAACTGAAAATAATTTTAGCCATGTGTATCCCTAGAACTCATATGCCAACTTGGTATCTTGTCTGAGGCAAATGGAAATTCCTTTATTCTACCCCTCTATCTATATCTTTCTCCTTTCTCTCTATATATGTGCATATTCAAATCTCTCTATCTCTATCTATACATCTATCAATCTATCTATCTATCTACACACACACTACGTGTGTGTGTGTGTGTGTGTGTGTGTGTGTGTGTGTGTGTGTTACAGAATGAATACAGGTTAATATGGCTGCAACAGAGTTAAAAATGCTTCTAAATTGATCTAAACAAGTCTGTTTTAATAGATAATGAACCAGACTAATGTCAGGAGATGCTGGTAGAAACTTTGGGTGTCATGTTTCAGAGTAATGCTGCAAAATCCAAGGTGATAAGACTGAGCAGGGTCCAGACATGTAAAGCAGTGAGTAGGCTGAATTAATACATAGGAATAGATTAGACTGGGGGAACTCCAGTCCTTGGTGCATATACCAGGTTCCAGTTGTTAGACTGTGGTAAATCCATGACATTTCAGTGTAACATTTCCATCACTTCATGGATCAAGGACTGAGAGTTACACCCTTTCCTAAAATCTTGCGTGTGCAATATGTTTTGGGGCCAAGATTCCAGGATAAGCTTTCAATATGCAGTTGCAAGTCTTCTCAACTGTCCTTTAAGGTGGCTTTCTTTGTACTCACAGGACTGAGTCATTAATCTGTCTGAATTGAAAGGATGGGGTCTGAGAGATGGTGTAGTTTTGATGACTACCCATGAGCCTCAGTCATACTTTTCCCTTAAAAGAGTCAAACCTGTTTGTAAAATAGAGTTGCAGAGGGCACTGCCCAGACTGAAAATGCACTACTTTGTACAATATGGAGTAACTTAGAGTGGGTAATTGTATGGTCTTATCAAAAATACAATACATTTCAAGTATTTAAATGTTTGTGACCTATTCTGACATCTACAACTAGGAACCTGTTGGGAATAGAAACACAAGGTTTATTTTGAAATTGATGCCATCTAGGGGTTTAGAAATAAGAATTGGTTCTCCTAAAATTAATATTTAAAAGGTAGGAAAGAAGTGTTACTGAAAATTCTTGGCAGCCTTGACAAAAAAATCATCTTATACTGGAGAAATTGGGGTCACTTCATAGAGTTCCTAGTTTTACTAATAAAAGTATTTTAGAAAGAACTCTCGAGGACAGAGAAACAGACTCAAACAGAATTTGAGGAAAATTTATTGATGATTTAAAGAAAAATCTCAGAGCAGACCAGCTGTAAATCTCACAGAACTGAATTTATAGGAGGAGAATGAATGTGATAAACTGGCATGGAGGTCAGTCAAACAGTGGCCGGCAGCCAGAATTTGGCAGGGAAGGAAGCATTAGAAAAAGAGCACAGATGCTCAGAGTTAGTTATGGAGCATAAAGGCATACTTAGGTTTTGCCCAGCATCTAAAGAATAAGACAAAGAGAAGACAATAAATAATTCTGACTTTCCCAGTAAGAATTCAGAAAGGTAACAGACCCAGGCAAACCATCTGGTGGCTCACAAGGACGTCCTTAAGACTCGGGAAATTGTGGAGGGAAAGTAAATTATCTTGAGGTCAACCTACCTTCACAGGAGTGGTGTCTAAGTCCGGGCTAGGACTTTCTTCTTGCAGAAACCCTTAAGGGAGGATGTAGGACATGTCTCTACCTAAAGGTAGATTTCATTCTTCACAAGAAAAACAAGTGTCACACTTGTTAAATAATGTGTTGTGTTTCAGAAAATGTGCTAAAACTCCAAATCTTCAGGAGGAAAATAATACAACCTGCCTGCCACCATGTCTTTTACACTCATTACAGGCTCTCTCTCAGGAACCATAAACCAAAAATAATTCTTTCTAAAGTAACTGGTCATTACATGGTCACGTGAATAAGGCTCCACAGAAACAGATTATAGTTTGTGGACTTCCTTTCTTTAGCTGCTGTTTCTCTGGCAAGACTCTGAATGACACCTGTCATCTTTCTACCATGTAAAACTCAGTGTGGAGTTAGGTGAAGTCCCCTCTAGCCTGGCTTAGAACCAGCTGATGTTTTAGAGACATTCAGTACAATCTTGAATGTCTACTTGTGTTTCCTACTCTACTTTCATGGCTCTGAGACTTCGGGGAAAATAGAGCCTAAAAATACTGGCAGGCTAGTTTATTTGGTACTGAAAATTGTGAGACACACACCACTCAGTCAGTGGCAAAGGTAACATTGGCAGCTTTCAGACAAAATTATAATAAGAATTAGAAGCAAAGAAGAGGATAATAATAATAATAATAATAATAATAATAACAGTCTGTTTAATGTTACTTGTATGTATATGATATCAGGGCTGACAACTTGGTATTAGATAAACAATTAGAGGGCTCCTTCTGGAGAAGACTATTTCTCCCACTCTCAGCATTCCTTAATTGCCTATAATTCATTGCCCATGAGTGGGGCCCTTCCTGTCACTTAACCATTAATCCTTTTAATTCATCTCTATCATACAAAAATTTATGAACCAATTAAAAGAATGCTGTACCGTACAAATTGCATTTGCAAGAGAAAATGTAAGAAATACAGTAAATATTTTAGTATTATATGTTATCTTCATACAAGCTTTGTATGGTAGTCCTGTACTTGATGATTCTTTTTTTTTTTAATTTGCAAACAACTTTTGTGACTGTAGCCATAAAGAAACTCAGGTAAGTTATGAAATACAGAATCTCAAAATTCAGTATCCTAAAAATCATAAAACATTTATGCTTAAGAGTAACTATCGGTCTTGAAATAACAGTAAAGAGAAATATATTTGTATGCCAGAGACACTTATGCACAGCTTTCCAGCAAAGAGTAGACAACTTACAAAATATAAATTATTTATATACTAACAAAAAGTGGCATGTAATTGTTTCCATTCCTTTGTTTGAAGTTTTATGAATCTTTGTGCTATCTGACTGAAAGCTGTCACATTTGGACAGAAGTAAATGGTACCAAAATGATGTCTGAAGAGGCTGAGGTGCACAAGATAAAGCCCTAGATCTGGCTGGGGCAGCCATGTGCAAAGACTCCAGCATCTACAAATGTTTATTAGTAACTGGTCATTACATGGTCACGATGTTTTATCACAGTGATCTGGAACTCCATCACACTCAGGTTTAATATACAAATTCATATCAGTGATCTGGGCTTCTAAGCCACTATCACAGTTTCATGTCAAGTTGTGGTTTCATTATTATAGGTGTTCTGTAGCAAACTGCCAAATTTTGCCAAAGTGATCCTCCCATACAATTCCAAATATTTTTCCACATCTTAGGAATAGGAGCAACAAGACCCCAATTCCTGACAACATTTTTCTGTTAGTCTTCTGATACTGTTACAAGTTTTTACAAATGGAAAAGATTTACTCTTGGCTCACAGTTTTTGAGTTCTTAATCCATGGTCAGGCAGATCCATCTATGGATTTTGGTCCAGCAGTGATGTCTAACACATTATGGTATGGTACATGGTAAAGCTGTTCTTCACCTCCTGGCCACAATGAGAAAGAGAGGAGAGCTGGAGTACCATTCTTTTATGTAAAAGAAAGCCACACAAAACTAAGAGATTTTGCATTAAATGCTTTTATATATTCTACTACCTCCCAGTGGTGTCAGTTATGGGACTTGGCCTTTAACAGATGGATCAGTTTGATGAATGTTCCAAATCTAGACTATAGCATCAACTTCTAAGAGAAAGGTATTGTTTGGTCTCGGTGTTAGTGGCTCTATTCCATTCCATAACATAATTTGAACCTGTAGTGGAACACCATCAGTGGAGCACAGTATTGAGCAAAGACTTTCCCGGATGGCCAGGGAAATGGGGAACTGAAAAGAAGACAGTAAGAGCCTGGAACCCTGAAGTCATCTTAAAAGGCACATTCCCATTGACCTGAAGACTTCTCACTAATAACTAGCTCCTAAAGATTCTAGCACATCAGCACATCAGAACTGGCTAAGGTCCAAGCCTTTAAAATGTGGATCTTTTGGGGATATTTCAAATGTAAACTATAGCAGAATACTTACTCCTTTCATTTTCTTTTACAAGTACCAGATTTGTCTTTCTAATTTCATTTTTACAGTCACTATTAACAGTGAAATGAATAATTCAAATTGTCATGATGGTCAAATTTGATCACAAAATATTCCTTTACATTCAAACTCTTGCTACAGATGATGTATATTCTAAAATCATGGCTTATAACAGTTACATTCTACAGGGATTACTGAGAATACAGTAAGCAATATACACTCCCAGTTGCCTCTCTTCATATGCAGGGTTATAATGAGTGAGAATAATGCATATAAGCTGCATTGTGAAACCGGGTGACCATGGGAATTCAAGGCAAATATTTGTGAAGATTAAAAATGCCTATATAAAATGTTTAG